TATGGAGGGATGGGAAATCCAAAGTCAGATCCTCATGCTCAGCGGCAAGCACTTTACCCACTGAGCCGTCTCCTCAGCACTCAGCACCTTTATTTTATTTATTTATTTATTTATTTATTTATTTATTTATTTATTTATTTATTTATTTGAGACAGGGTTTTTCTGTGTACCACTGCTATCCTGGAACTTACTCTGTAGACCAGACTGGCCTTGAACTCAGAAACCCGCCTGCCTCTGCCTCCCAAGTGCTGGGATTAAAGGCGTGCGCCACCACTGCCCGGCAACCCAGCACCTTTATTTATCCATTTCCTCACTGTTCTGAGCAGCCAGGGCAGGGCCCTCTAGACTTTGTTTGACAAACATTTATTGAGTGGCATACCTGTACCCGTGTGCCCTGTACATATTTCATGGCAGGTCTCTGACCTCAGCCTGGGGCCAGGCACAGACTCAACCATGACTTGCAGACATGGGACACATGATTTGGCAAATGAGGGAAGGCTGGGATCCCCTAGACCCTAGGGATCTTGTGAAACACGTGTCTGGAGGTTATCTCCACAGAGACAGGAGCAAAGCTCAGGCCAGTCAGCAAACTCCTCCCCCCAGGGGAGGTCATTTCCAGGGCCTAGAGAAGGGGGAAGATTCCATCCACTGAGATTTCAACTCAGAGCCCCGGGAGGTAAATTTGCGATGAAACTGGGCAAAGGCTACTTGCAAAAGCAAGGAAAGTGGGGCCCTGCGGGCAGGCTCTAAAACACAGATGGTTCCACTCTGGTCTAGCTTCAGGCTGCCTGTGCATTATTGGTCCCAGATCATGTAAAGGCTCAGGGAATAGAGATTTAGGGGCAGCTGATCAGTGTGGGGTAGTAGGAAACTGGAGTCCTGGTCTGCATTGTCTTGTTACCAACCCCTCTGCATCCCTGGAGCCCATCAGTAAGGCAGCAGCTAGTGCACACAGGAGGACCTGACAATTCTCACAGCCTAGCTGCCAGGGAACCTGGGTGCTTGGTGTTCACAGCTTTAACCAGTGAGCCACCCTATTTAGTAAGGCCAGAGAAACCAGAGACACACAAGCCTATCTATACTGAAAGCATGTGCCCATTACACCTATTTCTGGGCCTCTACACTGGAGTGGAGGGACCATGCCTACAAGCATGCCTCTGGCTGTATTCAGGAATTGCCACTGAAATGCCAGCCATGGCTGGAGTCCAAAGCCCCTGGTCCCACCAGATTCCAGCTGTGGCCTAGATGCACCCGGACACCTGACTCCTCAGCTGTGAACTCAAGTCTCCTAATCCACATCTGGCGGCAGTTCCATCCTTAGTCACGGCATACTGGCTTGTTTGCCAGTGGGTTTTAAAGGCCACTTGGGTGTGCCCATCTTCAGACTACCCTCTCTGGAGGAGTGGGCTTGGGGTCAGGAATCATCTGTATTGGAATCCTTAGGGCTCCTCAGAGGCAGCCCAGAGCAGGCCATAGAGCTCCTAGACGTGAAGGCCATGTGCCATATCTAAAACACCTTGTGATAGCATGGCTTTGTCTTTAAGTACTGGAGACGAAACCCAGGACCACGTGTAAGGCAGGTACTCTACCACTAAGCCACACTCCCAGCCCTGGAACTGGTCATGTAGACAGGCTGACTTTAGAGATCTACCTAAGTGCTCTGCCTCGCAAGTACTGGGATTAAAGGCAGGTACTACTATACCTGTGCCTAGCTTTCTTTCACTTTTAGAGACAAGGTCTCACAATGTGGCGGTGGATGTCCTGGAACTCAAAACGTAGACCAGGCTGGCTTCAAACTCAGAGATCTACTGTCTCTGCCTCCTACATGCTGATTTTTTGTTTTGTTTTTTTCAAGACAGGGTTTCTCTGTGTAGCCCTGGCTGTCCTGGAACTCACTCTGTAGACCAGGCTAGCCTCGAACTCTCAAACTCAGAAATCCGCCTGCCTCTTCCTCCCAAGTGCTGGGATTAAAGGCATGCGCCACCACCGCCCTGCCTTTTGTTTTTTTTTTTTGTTTTTTGCATGCTGAGATTTAAGGCACATGCTGCCTCGCTCAGTTTATCTTTATTAAAGAGAAAATCCTTTTATGAGACAGTCTCTCACTAACTTGCTGTACCCATCTCTGGGTTGATCAGTTCTCTACTTCACTGTTCCCACCCACTTCCTGTCAGGCCCTCACTGCAGACTGCTGAGCACAGGTGACAGACTCAATGTGATTCTGGCTCCTCACAGATTTTTGTCACCACGCTCACTACTGTTGTTCACATCACTACCCACCCTGTACTGAACACAGTAAGCTACACACCACTGGCAGGTTGGAGGCTGGTTTTTATACAGATGTAACTCACAGGGTGGATCACCAGCCTGCTGCTGCAGGTCACCAGTCAGGCAGAAGTGCCATCAGTGATGGCTGTGGGGAAGACAATGTTACACGGACTGCCCGGTACACAGTCACACCAGACACAAGCAATGACCCACGGGCACTGAGCAGGGCAGGATGGGTAGGACAGCAAGAGTCTCTGGCAGCCTGGCAGCTGATGACAATGGCAACTTCTCAAGACACTAGATTAGGAACCAAGGAGCCCAGCAGTATCTCTGAAGCCCCAAGACTCCAGGTACTCAAGAATATCTATTCTCACATTTGCCCGGGGCCTAGCCTCAACCCACTGTGTAGCTGGGGATGACCTTAGACTTCTGAGCCTCAGATTACAGGCATGCCTCACCATGCCCAGCTTTATTTTCTGTTTCTGAAAGCTGGGCCAGTAAACTTTCTAGAGCTGCCTTGAGGGAAGACAGATACAAGGACATTTATCAAAGTACTCAACAGACCTGCCACACAGAGTATTTACTTAGCAATTCTTTTTTTGTTTTTGTGGAGCTGAGGACTCAGAGCCTTAATTATGCTAAGTAAGCACTCTACCACGGATCTCCAGTCCTAGCTACTGTTATTAATCCTGAGACAGAGTTTGTTATACATAGCCTAGGCTGGTCTTGAACTTGCTCTGGAGTCCAGACGGGCCTCAACCACCCAAGCAGCTGGGATGACAGGCTGGCATGCCCTGGCTTCAATAAATAATTCTTAAATTCTCAGGTAGGACCTTTCTCTATCCAACATGGTGGAAGCCCCCTCTGCAGATTGGTTAGGGCATGGCTACCTTGGAAGACTCCTTGGAGCCTGTAGCCCCTGGAGTGCCCAGGGCCCCAGAATACACAGTGCCAGGACAGCTGATGGGGGAGGGAGGCTGCACCCCCTGGGAAGTCCCTGCAGAACCCGGGTACACACTGGAGGCAGTGGGATTAGGCCCAAAGTGGTTCTGCACATAACACAGGCCGGAAGCAGGCTGGTATGGAGGTAGGCTGGGCATATGTCCAGGAGGCCAGGAAGCCAGTTTCTGGCCACTGGCATGCTGCATCTGGGTGACAGGGTGACTTGGAGTCAGATGAGGGTGGCAACTCTGTGTGGGGTAGGAGCCAGGTGCAGGGTTCAGCCTGGAAAGGAATAAAAGAGAAGACAGTGACTCTTTGCTAGGGACAAGGTAAACAGTGTTATGTCCTGAGGTGACAGCATAGGTGGGACCACAGCCAGCACTAGGTTTCTTTTTTTTTTTCTTTTTTTTTTTGTTTTTCGAGACAGGGTTTCTCTGTATAGCCCTGGCTGTCCTGGAACTCACTCTGTAGACCAGGCTAGCCTCGAACTCAGAAATCTGCCTGTCTCTGCCTCCCAAGTGCTGAGAGTAAAGGTGTGTGCCACCACCGCCCGGCCAGCACTAGGTTTCAAGGAAGAAGAAAGATTGACTTTGGGGTTTGGGGGACATGGTTTCCTATAGCTTAGGCTTCGTTGAATTCCCAGTGTAGCTAAGAATGGCCCTGAGCTGTGAATGCCACCTGTATTCTCAGAACATCTGGATTACAGGCATGCCGGGGCACTACAGGTGTGAGCCACCATGCCCGCCTGTGCAGTGCTCAGGATGAAACTCAGGAATTCATGCATACTGGGCACTAGAGCACACGTCGGAACAACCTCCGAACGGGGTCCTGTGAGCATTCTCAGCGCTTGGGAAAAAACTCTGAGAAAACAAGGTAAGAGTCTTGTGACCTCAGTTTCTTCAAGACAGAATTGCTCTTGGAATGTGTTTCCATGTTCCTCCCAGGCGTAGGAGTGAGTTTACTCCAGCTGTTCTTAGCCATGTGCCTGTGTGTAACATGCTTTTACCACATGTGGCCTGTCCCTGGGATTGAACACCTTGTTCATGTGATCCTTCTCAACGCTCAGAGTGAAGTTGGCTATTAGCCCTTCTCATTTTTAGGCATCACTCCCCCAGGTTCACACCACCAACTAGAAAGGTAAACATCCATACATACAAACAACAAAAACGGAAAATATAAAAAATGTATTTTCCCCTTGGGGCTGGAGAAAGGCTCAACAGTGGAGTACTTGCTGCTTAGTATGTGCCAAGTCCTGAGTTCTACCCCAGCCCACTAGCCCACTCCTGCTTCTGGGAGCTTCCCCACTTCCGAGACAGAATCTCACTATACAGCCTTGGCTGGCCTGGAACTCTCTATGTAGACCAGGCTGGCCTCCAACTCACAGAGATCTGCCTGTGTCTGTCTCCCTAGTGCTGGGAGTTAAAAAATGTGCATTTCAATGATGCCTGCCCAGCCTTCTTCTTACAGTTATTTTCCATTTGTGTGTGTGTGTGTTTATGTGTACTCCCAGGGATCATCTCTTTCTTTCTACCGTGTGGGTTCCAGGATGTGCCGCAGGCTCTCACTAGTGCAGATGTCCTTATCCACTAAGCCATCTTTTCTCTATTTTTAGTAAACTGTCTCTAGTTTTTATTATAGCAACAAACCACCCAAACTCTAAGCCAAACCGACCTTCGGGACAAGGGCAATTGTAGACAAAACCACCCACATGGCAGCTTACTAAACACACGTGTCCTGTCATCATGCTCTTGGTGACTATTAGGACACTTGAAACATCATGTTCTGTTCTGATACCTGCAGCTGATCTTGGCAATCAGCGACCATTAGCCACGGAAGGAACAGAAGGAGCACAAAGCGCTACCCAGCCCACGTGTCCAGGGTCAGGCCTGGTACCAGGCGACCCAGCTCCCCAGTGGGCAAGTGTAACTCAGAGTGCAACTTTTTCCTGGGTCCAGAGGGCAGCTGCACTCACCAGGTGAGTGTGTAAGTTGGGGCTTCTGACCCCACCCCACTGCTGCTCAATGAACATTGTGCAGACATTGGGGGTGGAGGAGGAGAGGGTGGGAAGACAGAGCCAGCTCTTCCTTTCCCAACAAGGCCCTTCCTTCTCTGGGAGGTGGCACGGAAGGGAAGTGCTGGAACTGTGAGGTCTCCGAGGGGACACAAGCTGTTAATAACTAACACACGTGGCAGAGGCAGTATGGGACGGAGGACTTGTGGGCTGGAGACCCTAGGTCACACCAGGCTCTTCCCTAGACTCCGGGTAACCTAGAGCCCAGGTCCTCTCTGGACTCCTCTAGAAAGAAGGCATGAGGCCCCTAAGTTCTGGTGGCTTGCCTATCAGTTTTTAAGAGCAAAAAGAGCCCAAACACCCGTACCTGCTTCCATGGAAGGGAGCCAAGAAACTCTCCTTTCTCTTTTTTTTTTGGTTTGGTTTTTCAAGACAGGGTTTCTCTGTGTAGTCCTGGCTGTCCTGGAACTCACTCTGTAGACCAGGCTGGCCTCGAACTCAGAAATCCACCTGCCTCTGCCTCCCAAGTGCTGAGGTAAAGGCGTGCGCCACCACTGCCCAGCGGAAACTCTCCTTTCAGGTCTCCTGCCCTGTCACCTACTGAGCAGACTGTCTAAACATGGCTAACTGCCATAGCCCAGTGCTACCCACAGTGTTTGCTGACTAAGCAGTGTTAAGAATATTATCTAGGAGTCGGGCAGTGGTGGCGCATGCCTTTAGTCCCAGCACTTGGGAGGCAGAGGCAGGCGGATTTCTGAG